ATGAACATGTAAAAGTGGTCTTAGAGCTCAATGGATTGCATTTCAGTTCTATAACCTGAATTGACCCACAACATTTACTGACATATGACATATAAAATAAACACTTATATCTGCCAACAACACTACAGCATGTATAAGCCAAGTATTCCTTATAAACCCAATCAATACCCTCCTTTAGCATTGATGCAGGGGGCTAAAATGAAAGTTACTGTTTTCACTCTTCACATAGATACATGTTCCTGTTCTATGACACATGATTTTTATGCACAGAGTGAGTGTTGGGAGTGTGCAGTTACTGAAGATCCCATGAATAAAAAGAAAAAACATGATGTGTCTGTTTGGAAGATAAATCTCAGCTTTTGATGCTCCTGTGAAGTTAGTTCAAAGATGGAGGCTTTGCCGTAATCACGTGTCACTTCTTCTCACGAGTTATAAATATGAGAATGCTTGTTATTCTGTCAGCAGTTTCAATGATCTAATACATTGTCTACTTTTTTTCCAAAATAAACCTCTGAGGGATCGAAGGAAACCACAGAAATGCTGCTTCTGTGACTCACAAGATGGCACTGTTCAGTTACTTTTTATGATATGACACAATACATGCTCACATACATGTCTAATCTGGACAAATCTGTCTGGGAATGTTTTGGTTTCTTATCAAAGAAACTATACAGCTACACAAACATGACCTGAGTGCAACTCCCTCTGATCACTGTGTTGTTGTTGCTCTTTGAATCTGTTGTTTATGCTGCGTATTTCCCCCGGTTATTAATTATGCATTCAGCAACCTAAAGTATCTGAGATGATACCACGTGTTTGGACTGTAAAACTGTCAAACAAAAGCAAAAAGGAAGATAAGTGTGCAAGGAGCAAGCAGATAATCAGCAGGATGTTTTCATTCTGTGTAATGTAAACTGTGTGCTGAGCTCTCGGTGGCCCTCACTGGGACTCACTTTGAAATATGTTGAAGGTTTTATCAGAATCAAAATCAGAAATATTTTATTAATCTCCGGAGGGAAATTCCGTGATCTGTGACAAAGGAAAATTCACAAAGTTGGATGTCTTAAGTAGTTTAACGTAGCAGACAGGATGAAATCAAGCTAACAATGCAACGATAACCGTCCTTCACCTGACCTTAGAAATATTATGGTTGAGTCGGTAACGTAATGTCACATTATCCTCACTAGAGCATGTTTCTGTGGAAAGTTTAAACACTTTACATCTGGCATATTAGCTTAAATTTAGCATTAGATCGAGCATAACAAGCCTGAATGAATAACTGTGTCCCAGAGGTGCATTGATATTTCAAGTTTAAAATGTCTTTCCCACTGAATCACAGTATTTAACTTTGATGCAAGGAAGTGGTTGAATCCTAAGCTATTAAATATATCGTTTAACCTTGAAACCTGGTAGCATGTTGCTCCAGGTTTGACCTTTTAACCTGGATCACAACAGTAGCTACAACATTATTTTGTTCATAACATCGCAATAGCAGTTAAACATCCTCCCCAGGGCGGGATGTCAGAGGAAAATGGCCACCCCGTGAATATCTGTGTCTCAATTCAGGGGCTGCATCCTTCTATGGATGAATCATGGGATAGGTTGGCCAGAGAAGGATCTTCCCATTCTAGCCTTCTTTTCTCTACGATGGAAGCACATATTTATCGGCTGCATTTGAAGAAGCCCTCGGAATAGGAAAGCCTGCTTGAGCCGCTGTGACATAATCGGTCTTCAAATGCAGCCTCCGAAGGATGAGGCCCCTGAATGAGAAAAATCTATAGTCTATTTTGGCTTCCTAAAAAAGAACATTTAAAAAATATTATGCTCTTAAAAAAAACAATTCAGCTAAAAGTTTCAGTTCCTATTTGTAGGATTTTCAAAAATGTAATCAGATAAAAATTATTTCCTTTATCAGATATTAAGTTTACTGAGGACCCTGGTCGTCACCTGGCATCGTCCCAAGACCCGCAGCTGAGAGCATTCGCCATTCAGTGACGTGAACAAGCGCATCAACACGAGTGGAGATCCCTGCTGCGTCTCATTACCACAGAAGCTCAGAGTTCTTTCAGACGCAGATGTGGCCAGAAGAGAGAGTGAAGGGGGGGTGCTTGTTATCGTCACCGATGGTGTAACCACCACCAGTCAGGCACAATAAATCTTATCGTCTCCAACAATAACAAAAAAACAGAAGTCATGATCTGGAACACGTACGCACCAATGATGTCAAATTAAATGGGAACCAATACACATCAGAGTTGCAGGCCTTGGGGAGTTTTACTGCGTGTGTGTCATCATGAGAGCTAAAGATGTAGAAGTAGAATACTAACACTGTGGAGCACACTTTTAAAATGTAATTCAAATTTATATAACATTCATTTTTGCTGTTAATATGAATAACTAATTTCTGGGACAATAGTAGTATCAAATGGGGTTTTGGGATTTTTGATAAAAATCTCAGCCTGTGAGTTGAGAGAGGGAGAGAGGGAGAGAGAGAGAGAGAGAGAGAGAGAGAGAGAGAGAGATGGGGGGGTCTGCCTAACTTCTCACTTTGTGATTGGAAACAGAGGGAGGGATGAGTGAAGGAAATAGATAAAGAGAGAGAGGGAGAGAGAGAGAGAGATGGTGGTACTACTGTGGTCCATTGGTGCAATGGACCACAGTAGTTTTTAACTAACCTGAGACTCCCTGCTCTGTTGTTTGATTCCACCCATCCTGGAAATGAAAGCTTCCTGTTGCTTTGTGAAACCTTCCTGCGAAAAAATACTGTATGTAATCCCTACGCACCAGTGAGGACGGACAGAGCACCATCAGGCACAATGACAGCCAACAGCCTCTCACTCATGTTGTCTGGCTGGTTTGTGGCTCTTCTCTTCTGGGGTAAGTCGAGTATGATAACAGCTACAGTATAACTTCTTTACTTGCCCTCTGTCTTACCTCTCAGAAGGAATGCTTTGGGGGCTTTCAGTGGTATTGTGTGGCTTTTAAGAAAGGAGCTTAGCTTGTCTCATGATTAAGGTTTACACCTTTATACTTAACTGTCATGTAGTGAGTTTGATTATGCCCTGACAACATGTACTAGATGTTGACAAAGTTAGCATCAGTTTAGGCTATAACAAGTTTTCATTATTTTTGCTTGTATTTATTAAATAAGATGTATTATTATTTCAGAAGAAGGACGTTTATTCAATTCAGCTGTTTCAATAATCATTATGTTGGATATATTTAGATTTCCTTAGAGCAGTAAAACACAAAGGGAGGATACACTGACCTGTTTACTTCACAGTTTACTCCACAGGTTATTTCCTTTACCTTCAACTACATGATTTCTTGTGTGCAGTGGGTTCTGGGTTCTTTTTTACATTAAATAACCCAGAAATAGCATCATTGTGTTGTATATTACAATGATACATTGATAATAAAGAGTTTCTATATATTCTATTTTATACCTTCTTTTCTTTCCCAGTTTGCATGTACTGGATTACAATTGTATATTCTAAAATATCTTTGTATTTACTGGATTATAATTACATAAATCAGATAATACCTGTATAAACTGCATTGTTTTTCCATATACTGGATTATATTTGTATGTACTGCATCCTGGATTGCAGCATTTCTTACTTTCCATCTTTATTTCAATGTTCTGTTTTCCTATTGTTTTCTATCTGTTACAGCAGGATGCATGACAGTAGATGGTCTGATAGATGATGAATTAGCTGAACAACCTGCCACAACAAAGGGTATGTTGAAGAAATATATATATATATATATGTTCAATATATATATATATATATATATATATATATATATATATATATATATATATATTGATCACATGCATGAAAATGAGTGCGTTGACAAATCCAATGTGTTTTCTCTACAGGGTATCACTCACTAGAGATGATGACTGCCTGTAAGTTTACAACCTTTTTCTATTTCACCTTATAATAAATAGTCGACAACATTTCTGTGTGTCGGTTCATATATATTCAACGTATATTTCAAATAGGGAATATGTATTTGTGTCCAGTGGGGGGTGGTTTTGGGTCAGTTCCTTACATCCATTTTCTTGGCCTGGAACAGACCCACACAGAAAGCAGAGCTCGGAGATGCTGTTTTCTGCCAAGATCTCCTTGTGTGTATTATCTTGAGAATCCAAGAAAAACTCCTGGGGAGGTCTCTACCAGTGTGGGGGTCAGCAACAGCAGATAAAAGGTCCATAATGGTTTGGGGTTAAAGGTTAACCGAAACCTCATTATAAGCGGCCCCCACCTGGCTCAACTTCCTGAATTTGTTCGTCATTCACCCCATGCAACGTCTGTGATCAACGCATGAACTCAGAGTTGTGAAACAACTGGAACTTTGGAGCAGCGCCCCTTTCGCTGTTCCTCATCCTGTGCCTTCCCTTTTTTTTCCTCCTTTCCCCTGACTGTCCCCCCTCCTTCCCCTGCCAACTCCCCCAAACTCTGAGCTCCTCCTCTGCTGAAAAGACACATTTCCTGATGTCATTACTAAATCAAATGCTGCTCTGCAAACAGATGTTGTGAGAGGCCCAACATGTGGATCCAGTGAAATAAATGAACGAGCTGGTCATGAGAAAACATGAGCCGTGCATTTCATTTTCATTCAATCAATGAAGCCATCTCTCTCTGTCTCGCTTCTCTTTTAAAGTTGTGAGTGGTGACAGTGAAAAACTACCTTGTAGATGAAACACTCTGGTGAGCTGCTCGTGACAGCAAAGAACAAACACTTGCCACAGCTTTGGAGGAAATATCTGCTTTTAAACAGCCAGTCAGTTGTGTCTAACAACTTGTTCCAGGTTTGGTCAAATTAACCTAAATATGAAATCATGGCTGTCTGCACAGCACACCCTGCAGCGTCATGATTACATCCACCCCAAAACGCTGAAGCCCTAAATGTTTACTTATGTTTCCTATTTGGCAGAGGCAGCCCAAAAGGCAAATAAATCACATGCTGTGAGCTGGCCAGGCCGTCGACTGTGAGAAACTGAGACTAAAAAGCAGAACAAGAGTTAAAGAGTAAGGGTTTTCAGATGTGAGTCCAGCCCAGCTTGGGTGTGCTCCCTTTTATTTGGGAGAATGGAGAGGACAATCTTTGTTGCCTCCACCCCTTTAAAAAAGGAAGAAAATCCTAAAGAAACGTGTGTTGGAGAGGGGAAGCGCTGCTGCCAAGGCGCAGGGCCGTCAGACAGATCTTCAAGAACATCTGGTAACCGCGGGTAACACTGTTTGGACATCTGGTAACCGAAGGTTACACTGCGTCTCTTCCATCCTGCCGGGTTTCCTGTTATGCCTCGCTGTACACAGACTAAGACGTGTAGGTTTATTATACATGGTCATCAGCTGGGGAAAGCGCACCTTTATCGGTTTTCTTCTGACATGAATGGAGCACTTGGTTTCATTGGGGTATTCCTCTCCTTTCTCTCCGGTGAGTGTGTGGTCTTCCTCTCTCCAGCTGCAAAAATGCCTGCTTCAGTACAGACATGTGAAAGAGACTCATAGCTCATGATAAGGAATTCTTTTTGTATGGAAACTTAATGAACTGAATTAGTAAGTTTTATCCCAGCTGATTATATTATATTTTACTTTAATTTTAATTTTACTTATTCTACTTTGTCTCTTATTCTATTTTTATTCTGATGTATTGCGTGTTACTGTCCTCTTGTTGTACTTTGTATTTGTGAAGCACTTTGGTCAACCAAGTTGTTTTAAATGTGCTATATAAATAAAATTGACATTGACATTGACATTATAGCCTGTACAGTTTCATGAAAATGTTTTTAATTTTAAAACTTCTCTCCCTCTTAGACACCCCTAACGGAGAGTTTGCCGTGCCATTTGGTAGGTGACATGACCTTTATCAGATAACCATGCAAACGTCTATGTGATCCTGTGAAAATCCAAAGTTCAGAATTGAATGCAAATCTTCTTTGTGTGTAACGCATCTTTATATTCATTAACTAATCTGTTTATTTTGCTTCTTCTTATTTCATTGCAGCTTGTGGGAATGATACTCACCGTTGCATGCACATATGCGACTTTTGTAATCATTTGTACGGTGCTCCAACAATGGATTGCCTGTCAACCCTGTTTAGCCATTTATGTCTCAGCGCTTTTGAGAGTTCAATGGCATCACTGAGCAGCACTGACTGGTGCATTTGGGGTAACGTGAGAGGGTGAGTAATGAGTTCATTGTCTGCAGTTTTTGACATTTGAAATACATTAAATCTTACAAAATTTCTGAATCCCCTTCCACACTGTCTTCACCTGTCTCCACGCTGCAGTTTGTACAGTAACCTAAGCCATTGCACAGAGGAGATGTCTGACTGTCTCTTGATCCCGTGGCCCAACCAGCTGGTGGAAGAGACCTTTGTGGACATTCACTCCAGGTTCTTCCATGATTGCCCCACAGAGGAGCTGAGCGACCCGCCGCCAGTCATCGTCCTCGCCCTGGTGATAATTCCCATCTGCCTGATCCCGGTCATGGTCAGCATTGTGGTGTTCAAAACTAAGAATGGCGATGGCAGCTAGTGAGGATCTCAAATCTTGGCTCAATCAAAAAATCCCTATTTTGCACCAATGCTCTGTCTTTTCTCCCAAATTGAGGAATGCTTGTTTCCACCCAGGCTGCTGCTCTTTATTCTCACCACTGAGCTCGCAGAGGAGTGACTCTTTCTCACAAGTTTACCTGCACTTCACTTCTCAGAGGAATTCTGAAACATCAGCAGCAGAGAAAACCGATCAATAGACACTTCTGACCCAAAGTAAATAATGTCATATTCTGTGGCTGTTCAACAACAAACTCCCTGGTGTTAACAGATGCTCACTGTGACAAATCTTATGTTGTTATTAATTCATGCACTGTATCTCATTAACACTTTTAAAGAAGATAGACTGTGACAAAAGATTTGTTTTCAACCACCTGATTGGAAATTGGAACACTGATGGTTTTGGTTACATCCAAACTGGATGCATATGTTTGGAAAACCGCTCTGTTTGAAATGGAGAACACAAATTCAATGTTTTTAATGACAAAAGCACCAGAGCTTGCGAAAAATATATTTTTGTTGACAGTCCTCGTTAAGTCGGACATCATTTGTCTTGGTTAAAGACAAGATTCTGAAATGATTACTTATTGCTGAACTTCTGAACTCTTCAAACCTAACTCTGTTTTGAGCCACTAATTAGACGACGTACTATTCAATCCAAGTGTGATCTGAGTGCATGTATGAGTTCATTGTTTGATATATGAAAAGGGTCCTCATGTGTACAGAGGGAGAAAAGAAAAAGGATGTGGTTATGAGAGTCAGCGCTTGGGGTCAGAGGTTACAGATGGGACACAATGAATGGGTACGCCCAGAGAGTGAGATCCTTTTCCTGGTATTGTCTACTTTTCGAATAGTATTGAATCCTTAAGCACTTTCAACGTGACAATCCTCACGATCTTATGTTGATGAGCTAAATGAGGTTTATCTAACGTCTCAATCCAGCTCAGACAAAGGGAGATATTTAGTTTTGTGTGTGCAGCATAGTGATAAACACTGAGTGATGACAAAAAGATAACAGTGCTATCTTTTGCTTCAATCTTGATAACATGGGTTGTTATGACGATGAAGCCATTGTAAGCGCTTTCAGATTTGGAACCAAATGTGTATTTATATACTGTGTTATTTTTCTGCTATTGTCAGGACTTACTGTGCTGTCTGTGAGAACACATCCTGCCTGCTCTCACACCATGTACTGTATGTACTTTTTTATACTATATTAAATCTACAGTTGGAATGTTGGCTCTACTTTGACTCCCTTCTTTGGGTAGATTTGGATTTTTTTCATGTTCACAGAGATGTGACATTCTAGCAAAAGTGCCCTTTAACTTTTGTCAGTATTTGATTAAACACACTCATTTCCCATCAATGCAGTGCAGATAGCATTGCTTTGTGCTCCAGGTAGAGTTTCACTGTATCTCCAGTAAGCTGTATGGGCTGGATTGACGTGCAAGTGCATAGCATAGCGCATTGCATAGTCTCCACAGACATGCAATGAGGGAAGCGGTGACAGCAGTCATGTATCACACCCTCATCTGGCACAGACAACTCTGCAGGGTGGGCCTGTGTTTGTGTGTACATTGTGTGTGTGAGTGTGTGTCTGGCAGGGCTGGGTGGGAAAGTGTGTTTGGTGACCTTCTTCCCCTCTAGATATCGGGCCATCCTCATCCCCACCCCCGTCTGATCTCATCCAGCTCTGTGTTGCTCCTCACTGCTGCAGCTTGACAGAAACATTTCAGACGGTTATATGCAATATGTTATTGTGAAAACCATATTAATCACATTTCATCAGTTGTTTCACTAAACCATATGTGTGCATGATCAGTATAGGAGACACATACTCAGGGTCCACATTCAAATGGAGTTGCCACAAACTAAACAGGTCAGTAAACTCTGCCCTCTAGTGGTTGCAAGTGGTAAGGTATCAAACTACTTAATGATTCAGCAATATTGCTTGCCAGCATATGTGCAGGGGTGGATAGTAATGGATTACATGAAATGAGTATTATGCAAACAGATTTACAAAAAATAAAATTACTGTAATAAACCTTTTTCTTTTTTTTGTAATGTTTAAGTAGATTATAGTTACATTATCAATGATTACATGATTACATATCTTTTAAATTGTAGCAACTTTAAAATTAGGCCTTACATTCCTGGTGGTATCTTTATCACTTAGGCTTCAATATCGTGCAATACAAAAATATCTATGTTGTGCAAACCAAAAGCAGTCACTGCCCTTCACAAAGACCTCAACTTTAAATCTGAAACTTCCTGGAATTGCAGAAAAAAAAGTGGGATAAAGCTTAATGTTAATTACTACTTGTTAACTGTTTTATCCATTAGACTTACTTTGTTCTCCCAGTGACATCATCATAAACCAAATAGGACCTGCAGCTCTTTATCTTTTTTAGAAACATTTTATTTTTATTTGCACATGCCTAGTCTATAGAAAAACTATTCTGTGCATTCAGCGTTATTGGGCATGGAAGAATATAAAGCTGGACAACAAAGTAAATGGAGGGAAATAAAGGGGTGGCTGTGGCTCAGGAGGTCGGAGCAGGATTCTCCATTGTGGCTTTAATTAAGCTGACTTTGCAAACATTTTTTATGGCACAGCTGTAGACATATGAATATATATTTATAAAACTGAGGACAAAGACTGCTGTACTGATCTCACTCGCATGCCTCAGCTGTGTCTCCAGCTGCAGGGTGGTGGGTGGGTGGGTTTTGACTCTATAACCTCTCTGTCTTCTTACCGTGGGAGCTGATTTCTGTCCTGTCCCAGAGATCTGACAGAGGAGGCGGAAGGACGGCAGGTAAGGGCGTGTGTACATCAACTGTCCGTCTCCTTGGCAGCAGTTGCTGCCGGAGACTTTTGGCATTGTTGGTGTCTGACCGTGTCAGCTTCATTGCTTCATGTGAAGGAGTATTGGGCAGCATCAGTGACACCACATCAACCTCCACAGCTGCTTTAGAGAAAGTCAACTTCCTGGAGCAGCCAATGCCAAGTTATCGTTGAGTTTTCAGCATCTCATTTGATTTATGGCTGTTTCAATTTTAATGATGTTTCAATGGTTTACTGGAGTACATGCATACTAAAGTTTGCCAAACTTGATAAAGAATTAAAAGATAGTGCCCATTGAAGCGAGTCATTCAGTGTGACATGAGTAATTACTTTGTAGTGCGAGATCCCAGCAGCTGGCCCTGCTGCGTCAGAACTGACCCTTCAGCTGGATGACACCATGATGGCAGCAGATGACTTTACATACAAGTAGGTCTGACATCAACACTGCTACTCAATCAGTCGGAGTAAATTCAAATGAACAACCGTGTTCTAATGCATATGAACAAATGAATGGCGAGAGGGAGATTCACTCACCAGTTGTCCAGCTGTGATGAGAAAGGAGCAGAGCCAGCACACACCTGTGAAGGTCAATCACTGGTTTGATGAAGATAAGGGGGGATTTCTTTCTGGAACAAATCCACGGTTGCAACTTCAAGGAAAAAGCATTTCCACCTGAGATATAACCAGAGAGCATTCGGGTTAACAGAATAACAAAATCAAAACAATGCATGAACATGACTAACCAGCACCTCATCCAAATGGAAATGGAGTCAGCTATGGGTTATTATCTAAAAGATGCCATTGAGAACAAAAAAACTGCCAAAATGTGTTATTCCAGATCAGGAATCTGTGTTACATAAAAGAAGAAGCAGATGTTGGTCTCTTGGTTTATCTCAGACAGAGAGGACACAACAGAAACGAGTAAATAAACAGTGGATGTGCAGATGTCTTGTGGAGGCTCGAGGAGGTTCACATCATCACTGAAGACATGAAGGTCCACATGTAGACACACAGCACTCTGCTGTGCAATGTTTGGGTTTAGGTTAGAAATCAACAAATCCTCATGATTCATTTATTAAACCTGGAATAACAAAATGTTCTGCCACTTGGAGGCAGCAGAAACAAGCAGTAAGTGCAACACCGACATCTTACCACCTTTTACTGACATGGTGAACTTGTTAATAAATAAGCATTGAGTTATGCACCTGGATTACACTGAGCATTAATAGCTTCTATTTAGATTTTTGGTCTCTACTGACTCCTACTGACTAGAATATTTAGTTTCACTAAGCTCCTCTATGTTCAATATAGTCAGTGAGTTGGTCTGCAGGTTGTTGCTTTTCCCTTTGTCTTTTCTCACTTCCACTATGTGATCCATCATTAACATTAACATATTGATTAAAGCAGGTTGATGTTGAAATGTGCAGTTTATAGCTTTTTAAACTAGTTTGTTTCCATGAAATGTAACAGTTGATCTATTCACATACTGTAGTTTATTCCTTTAAGTTAGCATTGGATGTCATTTCTGTAAACCTCAATATAAACCAATATTTACACGTAATAATAGAAAAACATAAAAAGAAGTTATTGTCTAAACTTAACATTTTAAAACTCAATATTTATGACACCATCTACCAATATTGCTGCTAAAGAAACACTGTGGCAGCTCAGTTTCTTTTAATAATGTTAAGAGTTACTGTAGAGAACAGTTTGTGTTCCCTCCCTCAAGATATCTGTATTGTTACATGATACACATCTGTGTCACTGTGCATGCTGAGAAGTTTCAAAATAACAAACTAACAGGATGAGACAATTTCCAAAGCCTGCCAGGAGTAACATGACCTTTGGCCCTCGCATCTCATCTGAAGGACGAAGTGATGAAATGCGATCTCACAGAAAATCTAACAAACCAAACAAACATGCCAAATAACGCAACTCCGGCCTAGCTTGATAAAATATATATATGATTTTATTGTTTTAGAGTCGCCGCCGGGGGAGGCTGACTGAGATTGAGGCCTGTGACTAAGCTCCGATGACGGGGCTGCAGGCGCTTGTTGCCAGTCTGACACACATCAGGGCAGAGGGAGTGAACCGGACCCAGCTGGATGTCAAGACATGTTTGAAACCAGGAATAACAGAGGAACACAGGGGTGAGCACCAGTAATACCCCTGTCTGCTCATTAGAAAGGACTTTTAAACTTTGATAAAAACATCATATTTCACATTATATACAGTTGTAGCTAGATACATTTGAAAATATTTGAACCAGGTTTTTTAAAATAGCTTTTTTCAAGGTTTTCCTAGTGAGAGTATCAACTGTGAATTGTGAGGACTCTGTGTGGGTACCAGAAGTGGCCTCTAGATGGCAGTCCATGAGAGCATATTCTGTCATTGAAGGCCCTTAAAACTGCAGTTTTTAAGTGCATTTCTACCCACTTTGAGCAAGAAGAAGAATCTATTATTTTCCCATTTGCAGCTCTGGTCACAGGTATGCAGCGGTATAGGCCTTTAAAAGGTTCTGCAGTTCACACAAATCTCAGGTGACTGAAATATACCCGTCTTATTCTTCTGTTTGGTTACTCCCAGTTTCAGTCAATACACCACCCAGTTCTGGTGCACTGAGAAATTAATTTCAAAGCAAACAGAAGGACAGAAATTCAAACAACCTTGTGAGCTGAACCCTTTTATGCAAATACATTTTATGATCTGACTTTCAGCAGCTTTGTGACGATGGGCGCAGGATTTCTGAGTGTGAGAAAAATTCAAACAGAAATTTATTTTCCATTGGCACAGATGGTGATGATAAACAGAGACAAAAAATAAACCACTTCAAGTACAGAGAGAAGATGGAGGTTCCTCTGTTTATTTCTCAGTTCATTTTTAGTCCTTTTATCTCTTTTTGGTGCAAAAGACAGAAAATAGCGTACATGTACAGTTTAAAAAAGCTGTATGCGGTTGTAAGACATTCTTGGTCTCAACTGAGGTCTTTTCAGGTTTTCCTCAGTTTTTTTCCTCTAAGATTTTTCTTCCAGAACAATAATTTCAACTCGCTCACCTCTGCTCATCTCCCTGCAGTGAGTTTAACCGGAGCCTCACTGTTGTTTTTGCACGATCACCTGATTTCTGTCTCATGAAAAGATGAGGCCAACCCGCACGGTGCACCTGCACTTACGATTACGACAGAAGCCTTTACCAAGAGAAACAGATAGATTCACTCCTCTTTAGTGATGAATAGCATCAGTTTCAATCCACATGATGCTGAGCTGCTTGTGTTTATCTACACAGGGAAAAAACATTTTTCACATATCCCTTGGTTTCCTGTTTAAGACGTCTAATCCCACACTGGGAAAATGTTTTTTCAAACCCAAATACAAATCACATAATGCACAAAGGCATTTATTTGCCATAAAATATCCATATCTGCACGTGCAGGTGTGTGAGTACCTACAGAGATGCTCATTATAAAAGCATGCAAACACACATACTGTAAATACCAATGAAGGCATACAGTCAACAAT